ACCTCCTCATTTTATTGAGGAAGAAAGTGAGGTTAAGAGAATTGCCCAGATCACCTATCTACTAAGTGTCTAGGGGGATTTGAACCAAGATGTTCCTCACTCTAAGGCCATTGTTCAATTCACTTTGCTATCAAGGTCAGTAAAAGAACCCAACTCTCAAGAAAGCCTTTCCTTTGCTTTTGTTTTAAGCGTAGCAATAGATTTGGGAAAGTACTAACAAAGAAAAGGTGTCAGAGGCATTCGGGATCATGAACTCACATCATTAGGGTGAAGGAGGTAGGAGTAATTCATTTATTCTGTACAGTTTTATCCAGAGCAGTACTGTTTGCTGAAAGCTTTGAGACATTTATAGCCATTGTGGGTTTTTTTTTTTGAAGGAAGCTAACATGTTACTAATAGCATATTATTCATTTGCATCAGAGAAGAACTAAATGCAGAAGAAATTTAGGAAATTTAATTTCTAAAATGAGATTATTTTTAACTTTCAAAGGGTCACCATGCCCCTATAACTCTCCCCCCTCCCCACTCTTAAAGTGTATTGATAGCGATTCCAGCATGTTGGGAGGACATCTTAATGACCTATCTGACTTTTTGACAATAATAAGAAATAAACAATCAGTCATGTCAAGTTTTATTTCCATTTAAAAAAAAATCACAAACCTATTTCAGCTTCAGAGATTTAAGTTGTGACAGATCTTTGCTGTTCTCTACATTCCTGACTGTTTAATTTTTCAAGGCATTCTCTTGGCTCTCAAATGTAGTATTAAATTAAAAAAAATTAGGCAAAAGAGATACGTGGTTGTATTGAAGAAATTTTTTTAGGTTGATAATATTGTCATCGTACAGAGGAATAAATGAATGGAAAGCTAATGATTTTTGCTGTACTTTAACCTAGATTTAGTTTTCAGAATAGACAGGTTGGAATACTTCATGCTAAAGTATTGATTTGACTGGTTTAATTTGTTCTTGAGAGTGTACAATGGAAAATTCATGTTTCTAAGGGTAACTCATATACATTGATGAGAAAATACATGTAAATAACTTTACTTTAAACTTTAAAGTGCCATGAGAATATTCACTGTCATTGTTATTTTTTGAGAAAAGCTCTGGATTTAGAGTCAAATATCTGAGTTCAAATCCAGACTCTGTCACTGCACCTTCCACTTAACCTTTGTAACCTAGGGCAAGTCATTTAACCTCTCTAGGGCTCAGTTTCCCCATCTGTACTATGAAAGGGTTGACATCTGAGGTTTTTTCCAGTTCTAAATCTGTGATCCCATGATTTTTAACTCTTTGTGCTTATGGGAATTAAGTCAACTGTGAAGTTATATTGACAGGTTCTGAAATGAAGTTTGTAATCTAGCACTTGATTACCTAGCCAGGTGATAGTCCCGTTTTAAATATCATCAAATGAGTTTGCTGTTGCTGAATAATGTGGTAGAAAGAGCTCTGGAGTAGAATTTGGATGCTTTCTTGGCCACGTACTGTCTCTTACTTTGGGCAAGTCACCTTTTGTCATCCTCGGTTTCTTTTTCTGTTACATGCAAATAAAAATATTTGAACCACTTTCCTCGTAGAGTGATTGTAAGCAGGGGTGTTGTGAGACTCCGATGACATGATGGATGCAAAGCACTTTGCAAGCTGAAAGCACTGTACATATGCCGGTTGTTGTCATTCTTATCATCATTCTTATTTATAGTTATTGTTCTGTAGTCACCTGGTCTCCACTCTGGGGATATTTTCATTCCCTGAGTCTTCTATGATGTTCCGGCTGAGCTCATGTAGTGTTTGTCATAGAGGGATATGTAGGTGAATATTTAACAAGGCTCTCCAGGAAAAAAAAAGTGTGCAAAAGTGTGCACATGACATTTTAAATCTGAATTATTAATACTTTATTGAGTCTAGACAGTCAACAAAACAGCAAATTCAGCCTAGATTTCTAACAATTACCAATTTCTGAAATATAAATGCTTACACTGAAAATTTAACAATGGCTCTTGCAAGCTGGTTAGAACTGGCTCTAGCACATCTCTGTAAGGAAAGAGCTTTGTAAATTTTAAAGATCTAAACAAATCCAAGTTGTTATAATAGTGAGGACCAATCAACAAGCTTTTAAAAGTGCCTATTATGTGCCAATAACTCTTCTAAGTGCTGAGGATATAAAGATAACCAATGAAACAGTACCTACTCACAAAGACTTTAATTTCTAAAGGGAAAGACAAGGACAGAAATAAGTATGTAAAGATTAGATATAAAGAGAATAAATATTTTTATTTTATTTCCTCCACCCCAAGGTGACTTGTTTAGGACTCTTGTTATATAGCTTGGTATTACTGTCTCTGAGTCTCAGTGTCCTCATTTGTAAAATGATAGAGTTGGACTAGAGCAGAGGTTTGTCATGGACCTCTTGGGCAATCTGGGGAAGACTATGGGTCCTTTCTCAGTACAGTGTTTTCAAAGGCATAAAACAAAATACATAGAATTCCAAAGGAAAGCATTTATATTGAAATACAGTTATCACAATTTTTAAAAGAGCCTAGAACTCCTGGACTCTATGATCTTTAAGGCCCCTACTAGCTCTAAATCTTAGAATCTATGAACCTAAGTCCCAAAGAGTTCACAATGTGCTTCTGAGTGTTGTTTTAAGAGTCTTATCACACTGAGGTTCTAGAAAAGACTCAGCTACTCTTAGGAGGACTGCTGTTGTCTTGCTTGCAAGGTGTGTCTGTTCTTTGCTAGCATCAATTCTGGTCTATTTTCTGCTGTTCTTTGCATTATTTTCTACTCTTCCTGGCTAGCACCTTCTCTTAACTGATATACTCCATCAGCTTTTGAGGATAGACCTGCAGCTGGCCCTGGTAATGAGAGTCTTCTGCATTCTGACCAGTGATCACACCTCTGTACTGTAGAGCTCTAGCTCCTGTTTAAGGATGTCTCTTTCTTTCAATTCTTCCACTTGGCCTACATTAGTTCACTGACTTCTCTGTGGGTATGCCCCCAGTCGGTGTCACCCTCTCTGAGCCTTGCTTCTTTTCTTCCCTGCCTCTGGAATTTTCTCTGAATTGACACAGAGACTTGCTTAGGAGTAGTCTTTTGTTTCCCCCTGTGCAGATTGACTCACCCTTGCTAGAGCATCTTTCCTCTAGAGCTGGCTCCCGTTTTACCACTGATTGGATTGGCAAGGATAAGGATCATGACTTCTGACCTTATACTTGACAAACCTGTACTTCTGCCAAGCCTGTTTTGCGTTTTGGAGAAAATGCATTGCCCTTCCCCAAACAACCCGTACCCTGGTTCTCCAAAAGCTGCCAGACTGCCCGAGGTGATCTTTGGTTCACTGCCATGAGCAAACAGGGTTACATTTTACACAGCAAGGCTATACGCAGGAAACAAAAACCTGGAATAGCCAATTGCTAGAGTGTTGTTTATGGGCAGTCACAGGATCATAGATTCAGAGCTGGAAGAGACCACAGAGGTCAATCAGGCCAACTCCGTCAATTTACAGACCCCGAGAAGATAAGTAACTCACCCACAGTCACTAGGGACTAACTGGAAGGTCCAGGATTTCAACCCACTCCCTCTAATGCCAAATTCAGCATTCTTTCCGTGACACTACACTGTCACAGCTAACCTGATTATTTGTCTCTTTCTCTTTTGGTAATATGGGAAATAAAGCTCCCCATTTCATTTCGGAAGATCTTGGGTCCAAAGATCGGTCAGAAAGAAAGGATGAAGAAGTTTGGGAATTACTGTTACATAGTTTAAATGTAATTTGTAGTTCAATATTATGAATAAATTTGGCCAGGCTACTTTTTACAAGTTTAGTAGATTCTTAGGAATACATAGTTGTCAAAATCAAAGGCTATTGCTTTCTTTGTTTTCTGTATGTGGAAACTATTTTGTGTTGATTTAACTCTAAGTTAAAAAATTAAAAAAAAAATTCTTAACATTGGTCTAGGTTTCACTGCTGTATATTTGGTCATCATAAATCTTACTAAAACTTAACGTTCACAAATTTCACTCTGGCATTTAAAACCCTTTGTAGACAAACTCCATCTTCCCATTCCAGACTTGTTCCACATGATCACATTGCTTCCCTTGAGGTACTGTGTTCCTGCCAAATGGGCCTGCTTACTGTTCTCAAACTTTGCTTCCGTCACACATTCCTTTCCCAAGTATAGGCAGGCTGTTCTCCAGCTTGGGGTGCTTTCTCTTCTCTCCTTTGCCTCTAAGAATACTTAGATACTTTCAAGTCTTATTTTAGGTGCTACCTCCTGTAATGATCCTCATCTTCCTCATGTTTTTTTTTTGTGCTTTCTCCACCCTCATAAAGTCCAGATAGGGAGGGAATGAACCTGTGATAACTAACGTTGATAGGACTTGAACCCAGGGGTTCCTGGCTGCAAGGCTAGCCCTCTATTCATCATGCAGTGCTGTCATTTTGAATTCATGTCATGCTGTCAACTCAAATATCATATTTAATTGTCCTTATATGTTTCCTTCTCCCTAGTAGAATGTAATATAAGCTCTTTGAGGGTAAGAACTGGTTTTGGATTTATCTTTATGTCACTAGTTACAAGGTATTGAATATAGTAGGTATTTAATAAGTCTTTTTTTTTTTTAATTGAATTGAATTGAACTAACCAGACAGAAATTTGCCTACCTTTTACCAAATCAGAAACCAAATTCTTCCTATTTGTGAATTTCTGAAAAACTGGGATTGATAACTTGTATATTTAGTTTTTCAGCTTTGCTTATTTACTTATTTTTGGAGTTAATGAGAGAATTCAGCAACTGCAGGTATAGTCAGTTATTTTCCGTCCTATTATTGAAATATGGTTCTCCTTCCCTGACAAAGAGAAATATATGTGTGTGTGTGTGTGTATGTATATGTATATAAAACACACATGTATTTGCTTTTGCATTTAGATATTGAAATAAGTTCACTGATTTCACTTATATTTGCTAATATTTCTGATAAAAAATTTATTTTCTTGTAGTTAACAGCAAGGTCACTTCCATCTGTGCAGTCTGATGAGCGACTACAGCCTCTTCTTAATCACCTCAGGTAATAAAAAAAAAATACTGCCTCAGTGTGCTGATAAAAGAGATTTATTTAAAGTGGATTAAAACCCTTTGACTTCACAAGTAATGGGGAGTCTCAAAAATTTAAAGCAAGACAACAAGCATTTGTTAAACGCTGTGTGCCAGTCAATGTCCTATGTTCTAGAGATACAAATACAAGCAAAAAGACAGTTCCTGCCCTCAAGGAGCTTATATTCTTATGGGGGGGGGAGGACATTATGCAGAAGGGAGCTCAAGGGGTTAGGGGGAATACCCAAGAGAACCAGGAAGGGAATGAAGCTTGGCCAACCTAGACCTGTCCCCGAAATAGAGATTGGGACAGGGTGGACTCAGTAGCAGAAGAGATCAGGGAGGCAGTGGGATGTTTCAGGGTGAGAAGACTCCAAGGGCTGAGGGAAGGTCCAGAGTTAGAGGGCAGCTGCGTCATGATAGCAAAGTCCATTTTTTTTTTCTTTGCTGTCACTATTCAATTTTAAGTAATCTTTATGCTTTTAATTCCTTAGTCTTTAATATTATTTCTAATTTCCTAGCACTGTGGAATAGTCTTTAAATTTATTAAAAATCACAAAATTAGATGATCAATTTAAACTAAAATAGGTAGATAGAACTAGCCAAGACTTGACAAAGACTGAGAAAGACATCAAATTTATCTCAACCTTAACACCCTGATACACTTTTGAATAGATACATTAGGACTTAATGACAGATACACTGTCACTTTTTTTTAAAAATAATGCTAGTGTTTGGGGGGACAGGACTAATGCCCACCTTCATTTACTAAACACTTTTTACTACATATAGCTGTTATGTTTTGGGAGGATGTGATTTGACTTGAAGTATGTCTCAATCCTTTTTAATAAGGGGCTATGGCATATAAGGCATCTACTATATTTTTGTGAAGGTTGTGTGATTTGCAAATCATGAGGTCACTTTTTTATTTTTTGCAAAACTGGTGCCTTCATAGCAATATAGTGGTTGTCAAATTTAGGTTGTTAATCCCACAGCACCAAGATCTCATCCAATTTTATGGTCCTAGTATACTGTTAGTGCTTAGTTATTGTTAAAACTTGATGGATTTCCCCTTCCCCCACTTGGGTATGGTAATTGTCAACTGGAATTTAGATTAACTACTGACACTTTTCTTCAGGTCCTTGAAACTTGCACATACTGTACATTCATTTTAGGCTTCCATCCTCTGTGGAGTTCATTCACCACTGGTTGCTAAGCAACAATGGCAAGATGCTACATGTAATATTCACCAACTGAAGTTGTTTTTATTATTATTATTATTAAACTAAATGTTTTTCCATTTTATTACTATGTCAGAAACTTCCGTGGGTAAGGTGGCAGGTGATGTGTGTAGTTTGACATTTACTGTACTACAAAGTAACCTTGTGATATGACCTACAAAGTTAGTGTGTCTTTTGGCTGCCCCATATTTAAAAAATGAATATGTCACTTTTTTATTATTACTAGTATTCAAGTCAACTAGACAAAAAACATTGCATTTGACTTAATAGAATGTATTGATAATCACATTAGGTATGTAATTTAAATAAATTATCTTCAAGGGATAGACTTTATAGTAGGGTCCTGCTGAGATCAGTATTTTGTCCAGGGTTATTTCACAACTCTAATGATCAGAGAGAGAAATGATGAATAGCATCCTAATTAAACTTGCCAGTGAAACTAATTTGGGCAACATAAATACCAGTGAAAACTGAAGTAATAAAATACAGAGAATTTCTTCATTGTCCAAGTCACTTTTCAGTAGCAAGTTAGACACTTATGTAAGCCTAGACTACCCCCATTATCTATGATATTTTCACCAGGTATATTATTTTGCAAACACTAAAATATGTGAATAGTTTTCACATAAGTCTAGCCTTCTGGTTCAAATTTAGCTTTACAAATTGGATTAAGTCCTTATCTTACTACTAGGGAATGACAGGATCCAGGGGAAAGCTGATATGATTTCTGTGCCCTATAGAATGGAACTATTCAAGTGAATGTGATTTAATTTTATTCATAAATGAGGAATCATGAAATAGTTACTTTGTGTGCATTAATAGTTTCCATACATTAACTTGGAAAGTTAAATAAGAAAATTTTGCTTTTTGTGTTTTGTGACTAATTTTTCCCTTTCCTCTGGCCACAAAGCTAGTGTTAAAAAAAGGGATAGGAGGCAATTATATGGTATTACATTCATGTATATGTGTTAATAATAATAAATGTCTTAAAGGCTTAATAATAAAACTTCAGAATTTGCCTTTTTTTTTTTTGCCAGGCTATAAAAAAGTTAAGCATTCTTATTTAAAATTCAGCTGCACAGAACTGTGAATCAGAATGTAGGGACTATTATGTGTTGCCAGAGGTTTGATTATGTAATCCAAAGAGCAAGAATTAAAACTTGGAAGTCCTTCATTTTGCTAATGAAACTGAGGACCTAGATCAGTCAAGTAGTAAGTTGGCAAAACCAGGATTTGAATTTGAGTCTGCTAGCTCCAAATCCAAATTTCTCTGTAGCTTTCTGGGGGTTTCTCATATACATTTCTGTCTTCATTTTGTGGATTGCTTATTCTTTATGGAAATGAGCTATTTACTTTTTTGTATTTCTTAATTGGCTGTTTCACTTAGTCATATGCAAGACTGGTATAGTAACTGGAAATCAAACATCATTTCCACTTTTTGGAACCAAAATAAAATAGAACTTAGCAGAAAAAGAATGTAACATGTAAATACAGTACATACAGGTGTACCTTGCCAGTGTCATTAATTAGATCCACAAAAACATGATGTTAGGCAAAACAGCCACAAATACCAACAATAACAACAAAAATACAGTGGGAAGCAGTTCTACTGTAATAGAACTGAATGGAGCCAGAGCCATTAAAAGAATCTGCCTCTTTCCACTAAGAGACAGTCATTTCCTTCAACTGTAATGCTGTAGGTGGTGGTGGTAGTGGTGGAGGAGATAGAGGTAAAGGTAGAGGTAGAAGTAGAAGTGGTGGAGGAAGCTAGTCAGCTGTAGCTCAATTATAGGATGCTGGAAGGTAGGGCCAACCTCATGAGTTGCCATGCCCTCCTAGGAAACTTCGTGTTGCAAATTCTGTGGAATCAGATTCTTTTTGTTGTTCCTGAATTGAAGTCTTCACCCTGATTCCTTCGCCACATATCTTCACATGCCCCTTGAACTCTGGATCTTGGCATTGATACTTGTTTTCAGTCTTGATACCACCTCTCTTTGTGCACTTAGCTTTCCACTCCATATGTTTGACCATTGATGTTGGTTTGTCATTACCAGTCTTAGACTTCTGGCTCCTCTGTTAGTGGTAACTTTGTAACCCAGATCTTTTTTCAGTTCCTTACATAGGTGGCTTTAGGCTGTGCTGTTTCTGTCTCTGAGCCTTTGCACAGGTTTCCCCCTTCCCTGGAAAGAACTCTCTTCCCACCTCTGCCTCTAGTAGAATATATCACTTCCTTCCATGCTAGGTACAAGTGCTTCCTCCTGCAGTAGTAGTTTCCCTTAACATTTTTGTGCCTCCTTTTAATATGAAAGGAAGAAAATTCTAGAGTTTACCATACATGGGCATGTAAGAAAGAAAATACATGAGTTCATTTCAATAAGACAATATCATTATTTACCAAATGTTCTGTTCTGCATAGACAAGTTTCTTGTACTGCTTGGTGATATATGTACGTCAAGTTGGAAGCCCTACAAGAAGTCTAACCTAATCCCATTTGCTAGCTTCCCCTTTCTCCCCATTATTTTGTAGATGCATTGTGTTTATTTGGTACATGTTATTTCTACTGGTGGAATGTAAGAACCTTGAGGCACCTAGGACCTAACCTAGCACAGTGCCTGGCACATAACAGATGTTTAATACATGCTTGTGGAATTGATTTGGAAATGGATTTTTTCCGGCTTCAGCCTGTGGCAGATCCTCCCATAAGTGGATCCAAGAGAAACACAAGAGGTATTGAGTAAATAGAGCAGAGGATGGGTAGCCTGAAGATATTTCAATGTATATGTTTGGGATGTTATGTTAGGCTTTGATTGTAATGCCTTATACACATTAGTCAGGATGTCATTTTGTGGGGCATAGCTTTACTTAACGGTTACATTGCACTTATTAGATTTTAATGTATGATGAGTTTGATAGCAGATATTCCTTTTGACGTGATTTTAAATTATTTAAAAATGACGAGAGCATCTTCTTGGGTTCTTCTCAGTGTGATTGCTTTTGTGAACTTATTTCCTCTAACTAAATGGGTCAATTGATTAATATGTAGGGATAGGTACTGGACTAGTGATTTAATTGGTATAGGGAACTTCTGGGAGAGGAAACTCCCTCCAATAGATGTATAGATCTATCCTCCTCTGCAATTTGTAATCCTGAAGAGTAATACTAAAACTTGCTTACTGAGAAGTTAAATGACTTGTCCAGGGTCACACATCCCAGTATGTATCAGAGGCAGGCCTTTAACCCAGATCTTACTGGCTTCAAGGCAAGCTGTCTATCGGTCCCTTATACCATATGGTCTTCATAGTTAATATGTATACATGTTTATTTTTTTTTCTAGAGAAAACATTGCATACAAATTTCAGCAAAAGTGTAAATATATTTCCAGAATATCCACAATATTGATATTTAGAATATTTTCATTTTAAAGATTAACTCATTAAGTTTAAATCAGAAAATTACTCTTAGTATTCATTTGCTTGTTGAAATAAGCATGAAAAAAATGCTGTGATATAGAGCATTTTGGAGGAGGTGAGAACTCCAGTTAGTGGAACCTAAAACCTCATTAATGTGATCTTTATGTTCCTTTTATTTCTCAGGGCCTTTCTTCCCACTTATTTCCAGTTATTGTTAGTGCTTTGAACTATTTCCTTTTCAATTTATAGTTCGTGTAAATTTACATATTTCTGTGCTAATTGTGAAAGCTTTTCAGATTTTATAATATATTCCTAAATTAGGA